TATCATTGCATACATAGTAGTAATAATGGTTCTTGGATCATTGATTCAGGAGCTTCATATCACATATGCAGTTCTGTCAAATGGTTTCATTCATATAGGAAGATTATTCCCATCAATGTTAGATTGCCAAATGGATAATGCCTTGTTACTAAATATTCTGGCACAATTCATTTTTCCTCTGACCTCATTGTGCATAATGTTCTTTTAATTCCTGAATTTTCTTTAAACCTATTATCTGTTTCAAAATTGTGCGCATTCTCTAATTGCAATGTCAATTTCCTCAATTCACAATGTATTATACAAGACAAAATCACCTTGAAGATGACTGGTTTTGCTGAGTAGAAAGATGGATTGTACTACTTAACACTAAGAGATAATGATTCACCTACTACTACTATACACACACACACACACACACACATGCCTTAACCTCTGCTCTAGCAGCCAATGTCACTTTACCAGATAGAGCCTTATGGCATTTTCGACTAGGACACTTATCTCATAACAAACTTTTGTACTTACACTCTCAATTTCCCTTTATCACAGTAAATCATAAAGATGTTTGTGATGTATGTTGTTATGCTAGACAAAGAAAGCTTTCTTATACTATTAGTAATAATAGAGCTGCTCATCCTTATGACTTGATCCATTTTGACATTTGGGGACCTCTTGCAGTCCAATCTTTACATGGTCATTCATATTTCTTAACTGTTGTTGATGACTGCAGCATATACACATGGATAACTTTAATGAAAGCTAAATTTGAAGCTAGAAAGTATGTCATAAATTTTATGAACCTCATAGAAAACCAACATAAGTTGCATGTCAAAATTATCATAACTGATAATGGTCCTGAATTCAGCATCCCTGAATTTTATGCATCTAAGGGAATCATCCATCAAACAAGTTGTGTTGAATCTCCACAACAAAATGGTAGAGTGGAGAGGAAACATCAACATTTATTAAATGTTGGAAGAGCTCTCCTTTTTCAGTAAAAACTCCCAAAGATATTCTGGTCATATGCCATTTTACATGCAACATTCATCATAAATAAACTTCCTACACAAGTTTTAAACAATCTTTCTCCTCATTTCATAATGCACAATACACATCTTGATATGCATAGTCTTAAAGTGTTTAGATCTCTAGCTTTCGCATCCACACTAAATGTGCATAGAACAAAACTTGAGCCAAGAGGTCGAAAATGTGTTTTCTTAGGATACAAGAATGGTATGAAGGGTATAGTGCTCTATGATATTAACAGTCATACAATTCTTGTTTCTAGAAATGTCATACACCATGAGCACATCTTTCCTTATTCAAATGCCAATTCCATTAATTGGGACTATCATCCTTACAAAGATCCTACTGACTCACCATAACATGATCCTATTATACCTGTTCCTTCACAAAGTATTGAATCTGCTGTTGAGGAACATGACCACCATCCTAACACAACCATCAACCCTGAATCTTTAGAAAATACTGATAAAAACCATGACATTCAATCTGTGCCTGGCACATCTGATATTGACAATGAAAACATGCCATCTAAACCTGTTAGAGCCAAACACACACCTCATTATCTCTCAGATTATGTGTGCAATACATCTGATGCATCAGCAGGCAAGTCATCATCAGGTACAACCAAAACTTTCTATCCTATTTCAAATTATGATTCATTACATTTTCTGTCTGCATCTCATCAAGTTTTTTCATCCAATATCACTCTTACACATGATCCAAAGAACTACAAAGAAGCATGTTTGTCTGAACATTGGATCAAGGCCATGAAGTATGAATTAGATGCATTAGACAAGAATAGAACTTGGGATATAGTTGATTTGCCACCACATGTCAAACCAATTGGTAACAGATGGTTGTTCAAAGTAAAGCATAGAGAAGATGGCACAATAAAGAGGTATAAAGCTCGGCTTGTTGCCAAGGGCTACAACCAAATTGAAGGGCTTGATTTCTTTGATACGTTTTCACCTGTAGCAAAACTTACAACTGTCAGAACTCTTCTTGCGACAGCAGCCATCAATAACTGGTTCTTACATCAACTTGATGTTAACAATGCCTTTTTTCATGGGGAGTTGAAGGAAGATGTGCACATGACCATACATGAAGGTGTTTCATGTCAAAGGCCCAATCAAATGTGTAAACTTCAAAAGAGCTTATATGGTCTGAAACAAGCCAGTCGCAAATGGTATGAAAAGATGACATCCCTTTTACTTCAGCAGGGGTATACTCAATCTACTTCTGATTATTCCCTTTTCACTTTGAAAACTGATGCACACTTTACAACCATTTTAGTCTATGTCGATGATATAATCTTAGATGGAACCTCTATGTCTGAATTTGATCGTATCAAACTCACTTTAGATGAAAATTTTAGCATCAAAGACTTGGGAATACTTAAATATTTTCTTGGCCTCGAGGTTGCTCATTCAAAAGCTGGGATTTCACTATCACAACGAAAATATTGACTTGATCTCTTGCAAGAATCTGATATGCTTGGATCCAAACCAGCCCCCAGTCCCCTTGATCCATCTGTTAAGTTACATGCTGATAGTGAAAAAGCTTTTGAAGACATTGGAGCTTATAGACGTTTAATAGGTCGTCTGTTGTACCTTAACACCACACGCCCAGACATTACCTATGCCACTCAGCAACTCAGCCAGTTTCTACATAATCCAACAATGGCACACTACCACTATGCTTGTAGAGTCATACGCTACTTGAAGAACAACCCTGGTAGAGGAATTATTTTTCGCAGAAATGCTGAGTTACAACTTCTTGGCTTCTCAGATTCTGATTGGGCAGGGTGCCTTGATTCAAGGAAGTCTATTTCAGGATATTGTTTTTTCCTTTGTTACTTCTCTCATATCATGGCGTGCAAAGAAACAAAATACTATTTTCAGATCATCATCAGAGGGTGAGTATCAGGCACTGTCATTTGCCACATGTGAATTACTTTGGTTGATAGCTCTTATGAAGGAACTGCACATCAAATATACCAAGCTTCATGTCCTTTATTGTGACAACCAAAGTGCGATGCATATTGCGTTCAATCTGGTATTTCATGAACGAACTAAACATCTTGAGATCGATTGCCACTTGGTCAGTAAAAAACTACAGCAAGGCTTGCTACGGCTCCTACCAATCTCCACTCATGAACAACTTGCTGATTTTCTAACTAAAGCATTATCAACTTCTACTTTCAACAAGTTTATTTTCAAGCTTGGCATGATCAGTATTCACCATGCTTAGCTTGAGAGAGGTTGTTAAGATTAGCTACTCTAATCATTAGATTAGATTAGTTGATCATTATAGTTGATAAGACTATTGTTAATTAGGTAGTTATTAGTTAGTTAGATTGGTTGTTATGGGATAAAAGTGAACTATATAAAAACTTTGTAATATCTCACATGAAGAATTAATAAAGATTTTTCTCTCTTCTTGAAGTAATTTTCTCTTCTATTCATCTTATTATTTCTTTTTGTGGAAGAATAACTGTATCATAATAGTCCTGTCTTCGACATTGACCTTTACCCCCCAAATTTCACTAGATATATGATTATTCTGCTGAAGGTATTGATATTTTATTCCAAATCAAATTCTTCTTGTTGTATCGTCACTATTTCCACTACGCCAAAATTGGTTTTTTGTATCGCCTACTTTAATAGCGCTTTTTAAATAAACGCTATTAAAAAGGAAACAAACATATTTATAATAGCGCTTTATAGTAAAGTGCTATTAAAGAGTACAGAGAATATGATTTTGATAGCACTTTGTAAAAAAACGCTATTATAGGTATTCACTAAGATAGCGCTTTTCTAAAAAGCGCTATTAAAATGTTGTATTACAATAGCACTTTTATAAAAGCGCTATTATTAAAAGCACTACGATAGCGCTTTTTAAAAATCGCTATTAAAATATATAACTACAATAGCGCTTTTTATGAAACCGCTATCGTTTCTATAATTGTGTTTTAAGATAGCGCTTTTTTAAAAAGCGCTATTAAAATATTCCAATAAATTAAATTAATTAAAATATGAAAACCTTTTGTGGCCCAAATGTTTTTGGTTTTGGCTCAAAATTCCTTCTTCCACGTATCATTACTCGGATTCCCCTCTCTCTCAATTTCGTTTCACTGGCTCTCTCTTTCAAACTCTCTCAATCTCCTCTTATTCTATTTTTGAATCTGGTTTACGTTTGTTGATGATGATTATTCTGAACGGTTTGGTTTTGATGATGGAAATCGATTGAAGTTTGAGGTTTACGGCGGAAGTAATGGAGATTTGGATTACTGAAAGAGGGGTTAGGGTTTATGATTGGGTGTTCGGTTGTTTCACTTTGAATCTCTCTTCCACTTTCGGTTCTGGTTTTGGGGGTGTTTTGAAGTTGGATTTACGGATGAAATGGGTTTGAAGCCAGTTTGAAGTGAGGGATGGATTAACGGTCGGAGGTGAAGGTTTCTGGAAGGGGTTCCGATGGAGGTTTTGAAGGAGTTTTCCGGCGTTTTGTGTGTGGTTCTGTTAATGGTGAGAGATGGAATGTGGATTCTGTGTTGAAGATTTTCGGATGTTGAAGTTAGGGTTAAAAGAGGGGTTTAGGTCCGGTTCTGTTTTGATGTTAACGGAGGGATGTTTCCGGTGTTTAACGGTTTCGATGGGTTTCTGATGTTGATAGCGGCGTGCGGCGGAGTAAGGTGGGTCGAAGGGAGGTTTGTTGTTCTTCAGGTTAGGTTTCTCCTTCGATCCTTGTTCTATCCTCATCGATCTTTTCCATAACTGGACAAAATCAAGGTATAATAATAATAATAATAGTAATAATAATCTGAATTTACATGCTTTTTTTGCTTATCGTAAGTTAGGGTTTTTTACGATTTTTCATTCGCAGATTTACGGCTTTTGATGATCGTGCATATTCAATTTGCATAGCGAAGTTAGGGTTTAATCGATTTATATTCATTTGCAGGTAACTGAATCGTGATCATGTTCAATTCAGTCTATAGATCATTGCAGGATATATTTCCACATGTATTCATAATTAATTTCGTTTTTCGTTTTCTCCTGAAATATGATTCAGAATAGTTCTTTGTTGATTAATTTTAATTATATTAACTTGTTGATGCTCTGTGATCCATTTTTATGTGTTTAGTTTGTGAACTTGATTTGGTTTTCCGTTAAAAAACTTAGGTTTCTTCATTGAACTTTCTAGTTTAGGATTGTGTTACTCTGAGAATTTGACTGGCTTGTCATCAATACTAGCTCTTAGCTGAAGTATGTGTTTGTTATTTTGCCTTGAGCAGGTTGATTCTAGGTTGTTGAGGGCTGTGGCTATTGAACATCCTAAGGATGCTGATATTGCTGCGGAAATTGTTCTTACAGAAATCATCCCATCGATTTCCAAGAAATTACTTCCAGCGGCACCTTCAGAGGATATGAGCCCGAGAGTTGTAGTAAACCTGGAAGGTGCGTCTACTTGTTTTGTATATGCATTCTGTATTAGTCTCTTCTTAGTCTACATTGAATGGTACCATCTGCTGCAGCGGCGTAACCAAATGTGCATGCTGAAAAGCTTACAATTAGGACCTGCAGAAATAGAAGGGTTTAGATAAATGTTTAGCGTGCTTACAACTCAATCAAAACTCACACTGCAACAGTCACAATATGCATCACAACAACTGCAATCTCAGCATTCGTAACTGCAATCTCAGCATTCGTAACTGCAACTGCAATCTTCATGGAATTGTAGAGAGTAGGAAGAACAGGATGAGCACTATAACAAAAAGTAAGCTAATAATTTTCCCGACTTCATTTCATTATTTGCATTTAGTTTCTGAACATTGATCTTGTCTTCACAGGTGGAAATCCCGCGTGCTTTCGTTTGTGCGGAGAGTAAAATATTTGACGTATCGGAATGGGCTATATGTCAGGGTTACTGTTTTAAACTATATCCCCTATCAATTCAAGTTTAGATTCTCAACTTGCCCCTCATACCCAATACCATCCAAGATTAGACTCTCAACACGCCCATCACACCCAATACTGTCCAAGATTAGACTCTCAACATGCCCCTTACATCTGGTACACATCTTAGAGTTTGAGCTAAAGGCTAACTTAACCCCATTAAACTGTCTTATAAGGTGAAGAATGTCCACCACTTATGATCATAATTCAAGCCATATAAATATCTAGTTTGTTATTCATAACACTCCTTTATGCCCAAGATTGGACATTAGCCTTGTGATCTGAGTGGTTAAAAAACGGGTAGTCCAGTAGATCTAAGATAGACTGTGATAATATCTTATAATTTGGGCTTATGGCCTCACAAAGCTACAGACAAGTGATTTGTAAAGGATGCTCACCGTTTATAACCATTCTCACAACACAAATCAACTTATTCTTAAATCATTCTCACAACACAATCATTCACACATCACAAATAAAAAAATATGTTGAAATATGGAAAACCTCCTCTTAAGGGATAATTTGATACACTCAACATATATATTCTTATAAGATACTGAGATGTTTCTTAAATATATCCTAGTAGTTTGCATTAATACCCTACCTTTCTCTTATTGATATGTATGCATGTTTGTTTGCAATAGGGTTTGCTAGAAGCTCGTCAGGAATTACGACCATTACTCAATAAGTCCCAAAGTCGCCTGAAAGATCTTTTATTTTTGGATATTGCTCTTGATTCTGCTGTTAGAACAGCAGTGGAAAGGGGATATGAGGAATTAAACAATGCTGGACCTGAGGTGATTCCTTGTTTTGAGGGTCTCAAATGCTGCTCATTGTTTTTATTATACTTTGATATACACATATGCAAAGATATGAAGCTTGATATTCTATTGTGTGGACTATGCAGAAAATAATGTACTTTATCTGCTTGGTTCTCGAAAACCTTGCACTTTCATCGGACGACAACGAAGATCTCATCTACTGTTTGAAGGTATAGTGATATGTCCATTTTTTTATTTCGTACTCACTAGTCATATCTTTATTTCAAGAAATACCCTCAAGTTGTTCTCTCACCTGAAAAAACTTTACCACGGGAACAACAAAGAGTTAAGTTGTGCATTTCTTTATCGGTGTTTTGTTTTAAATGCAATCTGAATTTAATTCATTGACAAAGTAGGATCGATTATTAGCATAAAAGTTTATATCTATGATGCCTTATGAGGTTGATTCTGGACAGATCCACGACCCCTTACCTCTTATTATTTTCAGCTGTTCATTTATATGCAATCATTTTTTGACTTGGTCATTTATACAGTTTATGATTACTTAAAATAGCTTGTCAAATGATGTGAGAGTTCTTTCAACAGAAAAAGTTTATTAATGCCTGTTTCATATTAGTTTGAAATTTCTTTGTGCAAAATCAAAAACCTCATAACTGATTATGAAGGGCTCATGATAATACTAGAAGACCACAAGTGATTTTCATTATTGGTGCTAACTGGAAGTAATGTCTAATCTGTTGTAGATGTTCATGCCTATCCGTCTAGCTAAATCAAAATCGTAATTTAATGTTTCTTACTTTTTTTTCTTTCCTTTTATAGGGATGGAATTTGGCCTTAAGCATGTGTAAGGGTAAAGACACTCATTGGGCATTGTATGCAAAGTCAGTCCTTGACAGAACACGCCTTGCACTCACAAATAAGGCAGAGTCATACTAGAGAATTCTTCAGCCGTCGGCCGAATATCTTGGATCAACACTTGGTGTGGAAAATTGGGCTGTATGTATTTTTTTTAGCTTCTTTAGTTTTTCTCTTTGTGCTCTTGTTTCTCTTCTGAAAATCTCCTCTTGCAGGTGGAAATATTTACTGAAGAAATTATCCGTGCTGGATCTGCGGCTTCTTTGTCTACTCTTGTAAATCGGCTAGATCCTGTACTCCGAAAGACTGCTAATCTTGGAAGGTGGGATTGATTATGCCTGCTCAACTTGAGTCTATGGTTTCATCTTCAGTATATTATAGCTCATTTGAACTGTCATGTCATTCATTATTTGATTGCTTTGATATTGATGGCCTTCTGACACAATTCTAGTTGCCTGGAACAGTTGGCAGGTTATTAGCCCAGTTGAAACCATTGGATACGTCGAGGTTGTTGATGAGTTGCTAGCTGTTCAAAACAAATCTACTAACCTACACCATCTACTAACCTTTTATTGAAAAACTAGATATAATAAAGGTAAGGTGATTAACATGTTAAGTTGTCTGCAGGAATACAGGTAAGGTGATTAACATGTTAGTGATGTTGCATTAGTGCTTAGAACAAAGATTTGATAAAAAACAAGTCTACAACCACGATTTGATCAGCGACATCATCATGGTTTTTGATTGCAATTCTCCGCAATAGAGGATCACGATGCTAATCGTATAGTTAGTGCATTCCACTTTCACTCAAATTATAATCTCACCGTTTTTATGCATACGTACCAAACAGATATTACTGTGTTATAATTCACTTTGCCCTTAACTTTGGCTTTGGCAATGCAATGAGAAATTCATGCTTTAAAAGAAGTATGAATGGTGAGGCATTAGTATATGTATGTATTGGAATTGAAGATTTCTACAGTTTAGTATAATAGTTACGCTTCCATGTTAGTGACAGTGTCATACATTGCCTCTTATAATTATTTCAGTGATGTGCTTATTGAACTTTTATCATACATCTTTCAGACAATATGCATATCTGAAATGGAATTATGCTATTTGCTACTAAGTAGACATTATTATGCTTTTCCTAGGTACTCACGTGGTGTGTGATCCAATTTCTGGACAAACATGGATGGTTTGTTGTTCTACCTGATCAGCAAAAACATTGAAACAGAATAACCCACTGGATCATGATGTATCTTTAGATGGTTTGATAACTATTCATGTTGCATTTTCATGTATAAGTTTGTATACACAGTCCATGACCCTGGTATTAGAAGCCTTGGTGTAAGTTTTGACCTCTGTCTACATTACTTTTGACTGTCTGATTTTATTATGATGATTCTCTGTTTAATAATGTTAAAAATAGAATACTGTGATTTATATCTTGATTTTAGTTTTCTTTCTTGGTGTATATTTGCATTTATTTATGTCACTAAATTAATCTTCTAGTTATAAATTATGTGAACTGTCCAATTCCTTCTGTCCTGGACTAATGTTCTGAATATGTGAGATTTAATGTGAAAAAAAACTCTTTTAAAATGTGTTCGAAATAGTGGTGAGTCTCGAATTTCAATAGCCTATTATGTGGATTTTAGCATCATATAACTCTGGTGTAATTTGTGCAGGGAATTAGCGGCGTCGGTAGCATGTTACGTCTTTTGAAGAAATAG